ATCTACTTCTGAAAGTACTACCGAATCTACGTCTCAATCAACCGAATCTACTGTTGAAAGTAGTACCGAATCTACGTCTCAATCAACCGAATCTACTTCTGAAAGTACTACCGAATCTACGTCTCAATCAACCGAATCTACTTCTGAAAGTACTACCGAATCTACGTCTCAATCAACCGAGTCCACTTCTGAAGGAACCACCGAATCCAGTGAAGCAAGTACAGAATCAACATCAACGACAGAATCGACATCTGAAGCAACAACTGAGTCCACAACAGTAGAATCAACGACCGAAGGTACCACTGAGAGTAGTACAGCATCCAGCTCAGAACAGACTAGCGAACTAACAACATCAACGACAGAATCCACCACGGAATCGATTGCCAGTACGGAACCTACTATCCCAACACCTTGTCCAATTGGTAACTTAACCGATGAACAGATAGTGCTCGTTTGTCCAACTGGTTTCCGAAGACATCCGAAATATTGCAATTTATTCTATCAATGTACTAACGAAAACGATATGGAGATCAAAGTCCTGGTATTAAGCTGTCCAGAAGGAACGATCTTCGACGAACGAAAGATACAGTGTTTGCCCGAAGATAAAGCTAGTCAATCGTGCACAGGCACTATAGCTTCTGCACGATTTTATAGAAGATTGGAGCAAAGTTCTACGAATATAGTAAGTATCCGATACAATCGAGTCTTCCATATCTAAATATTCGAATGTTTTACTCAACAAATATTCTATTATTCGAACAGAATATTTATAATAGGTAACAGAATAGTAATAGATGCTTTCTCTTCTGTTAAAATATTAGTCACGCCTTCATACGTTATAAAACATATGTATTATTTCGTCTAAGAAATTGAAAATCATTTTTATTTCTTAAAATATAGTGCACACAAAAGAATTACATTATGTTACTTATAAAAAATAGTACCACTTTTTCTTCTTTCATTTGTTTTCATACTTACTGTTAACAAGAACACTGACTAATTTAATATCAGGAAAGTGGTTGTTCTAAAAATTTCTTTAATTAAGTATTTTTTCTGTTAGTTTGGATATGAGAGGCTCTATTTCCTGTATTTTACATAGAACATTTTCTAAAATTATCTATTTTATTTCAGATAAAAGTATCAACCCAGCAACTGTGCCTAGGAGAAGGTCACTACCCTTACAAATTGGGCTGCAGTAGCGTGTTCTATAATTGTAAACGAAATTCCAGAAACGATCTTCAAGGTTATTTATACAAGTGTCCAGAGAACTTCCTCTACTGGTCAGTTTCGAGAAGATGTGAGCGTGAAGCGCGATTGCCATTGTGCGGGTTATACAAGTCTAAGGAAAGCCTTGAGAACTGGAAGGAAAAGTGGCAGATTCCAATAGAAGAATCTAATTTATCTGCTCGAAGTTTATTTCTCTAAATTCCGATAAAAAGCTCTTAGTGATTTAAATGGACAGTATAAACTCTCAGGACAATTTCTGATCTTGTTTTTTTCTCTCTCTTTTTTTTTTTTTAATGAAATGTATTTGAAGGAAGTAATTTTAAATATTAGAACATACGTAAATGTTTCTGCAACATGGCTGCAGAAGATCTTACGAAGGGATACTCGGATCTTCAGCAGTCATCTTGTCATAATTGATTAATGTGCAAAAAATAATTCTTAACAATTATTCGAGAATTATGATTGGTATTTTCCACGATTTTTCGCAACGAGCTCGTAAAATCGTTGGAAGACCATCACGAATACTGGGGTTTTGGTTGTGGGATTTTTATGCAATATTCGACTGTATTCAGTAGTTTGCGATATTTATTTATAGAATCGAGCATTTTCTCGCGACTACATTTTCATGGTTCATAAAATTTTACATTGATATGGTAATAACGAATTAAATTTTACATTGATGTTGTAATAACGAATTAAATTTTACATTGATGTGATAATAACGAACTAAATTCAACAATAATGGAATTACCATATAACGATTAATATAGTGACTAAAATTTTAAATGTAGAAATAATATTATTGAAACATTCGATGTTTCATAATTTTATTCGGCAAATTTGTATAGTAAAGTTTTCTGAGAAATAGTATTTACAATCTTAGTACTATATTCTGAGTACAAGCTCAGTAATCTTAGAAAAATAATCTTGTATATAATTACGTTTTAATTGCTGCTTCCTTTTTTAAAACATCATTCATCGCGTTTAATTCCTTTTTTCGATATTGCGATGAGATAAGGTATACTTTAAAAAAAAAAACATTGCCTTTAACATGTTTATTCCCGAACGTGAAATATTTTTATTGTAGCCATTTGTATGTGTAGAAGTATTGTGTGTGTCTGTATTAGAGTTTTTTGCAAATTGATATCAATAAATAATGAATGTTCAGATGAAATAAAAATATGCAAAGACCTTGCGAATCTCTTACGTGTACCCCGTCATATTTCCCAAATTTATGAGAATTAAAGATACAATTAAAAATTTAATTTAAAATTTACGAAAATGCTGGATTTTATGAAATATACGAGGAGAATAAATCATTTAAAAAGTTAAATCGATTGTCTCGTTCTCGCATCAGTCGATTGTACCAATCGATTGTAATTTACATTGTGTGCGCATACATGTGATATGACTCATGCTTAACTACATAACAGTCAGTCGAACGAACAGCAGTGCTGTGACTAAGTAAGTGGTTGTTGAATTGAGTTAACTGTTGTTTATACAAAAATATTCGGAAAGATCCGAGTGTCCAAAGAAAATTGCAAATAAAAATCGCTCCTAATAGAACGAAATGTTCCGCAATTCGCCAAATTTTGATAAATTATTAGGTACGTTTTTCTCGTTGTATCGGGCGAACAAAATGTCCGACTGTCGAATTGTATTTTGAATTTTTTTTTTTTTCGTAGAAAAAGCGACAAGTCATTACCAACTTGAGCCTGACTGGGTAGCGATACTGCAGATATGTGATTTAATACGTCAAGGAGATGTGCAGTAAGTTTATTATTACTTAATGTGAAGCTAACCTCACTATCTCGCAATTATGACATTTCAGTTTCGATGTGTGTACGTTTTACATATCTTTCATATTTTGTCAAAATCGAAATTTTTTTATCTCTCTTGTAGAAAATGTCATTTGTTTATTCGCATTCTATTGACAATAATTATATTGTATCATTAAGTATAGGTTAGAAATGATATGAAATTTTTAATTTCTTGTATGTACAGACCCAAAATAGCACTCGCAGCCATTAAAAAGAAAATGACAAATGCAAATCCACATGTAGCTCTGTATGCTTTATTGGTGAGAAGAAATATTGTTTGAAATTATTTAGTCATTGTGTAAAATTGTTCATATGCATTGTTTCTTATATAGGTTTTAGAATCATGCGTTAAAAATTGTGGTACTCTTATACATGATGAAATTGGTACTAAGCAATATATGGAACAACTTAAGGAATTGGTAAAGACAACAACTCATGAGAATGTTAAACTTAAAACTTTGGAATTGATTCAAGCTTGGGCACACGCATTTCGAAATAGTCCTAAATATCGAGCAGTTCAAGTATGTTTAGTAAATATGTAACTGATAACTATGCATAACTGCTAACTTTATGCATAACTGCATAACTGCATAACTATTAACCTTATTTTAAATAATGTAACATTAATCAAACATTATGCATTATAATAGGATACACTTAATATTATGAAGGCAGAAGGACATAAATTCCCTACGTTAAAAGAAAGTGATGCCATGTTTATTGCTGATACAGCACCAGCATGGGCAGATGGAGATGTATGTCATCGTTGTCGAGTAACATTTGGAATGGTACAAAGAAAACATCATTGTAGAGCATGTGGTCAAGTATTCTGTAATCAGTGTTCAAGTAAATCAACTACACTGCCTAAGTTTGGGATTGAAAAGGAAGTTAGAGTTTGTGAATCATGCTACGGAAAAGTTAATAAGTAAATATCAAGTATCAATTAATTTACTTTTGTGCCTTATTTTTAATTTTTTCATTTAATTTCATAGACCATCCACAGCTCAAATTAAGGAGGATTTGCCTGCTGAATATCTGAATAGCTCTTTAGCTCAACAACAACAAGTATAGTATTGTGTAAAAAAAGTTAAATTTAAGAAATATACGTATCTAATATACAATATTTTATCTTATCAGGTACCTCCTAGAAAAACAGAACGAGAACTGCAAGAAGAAGAAGAACTTAATCTTGCTATAGCTTTAAGTCAGAGCGAAGCAGAACATCAAGAAAAAGAAAAGAAACGGGGAAATCGTGTTGCAACAAAAGTAAATCCACCTAGTACACGCGTTACAAGGACATCTTCTCCACCACCATCACCTGTAAGTTTCAAATAATATAAGACCTTAGTAGAAAAATATAATAATCTTTATTTTCCAGCAAGAAGAGACGGAAGTTGATCCCGAGCTCGCAAAATATTTGAATCGTAAACGTTGGGAACTGAGACAGAGCGCATTAGAAGAACATAGTTCTAGAGCAGATGTTACAAGTCCTTCTGCTCCTAATATAAGCAGTCCAATGCCACAAAAAGTTATAATTGCTAAACAGCAAAATGGAGAAGTTGACACTCAAATGGAAGAATTTGTTAACGCTTTACGATCTCAAGTTGAAATTTTTGTTAATAGAATGAAAAGTAATTCGTCAAGAGGTAGATCAATTGCTAATGATAGTTCTGTGCAGACTTTGTTTTTAAATATTACCGCTATGCATTCGAGGTTTGTTTTAAAAGATATTTTAGATTCATATAAAACGATATAAAATTCTGTGATACAATAAATGAATTCTTTTAGATTATTGAGATATATTCAAGAACAAGACGATAGTAGAGTATACTATGAAGGTCTTCAAGATAAATTAACACAAATGAAAGATGCTAGAGCTGCCTTGGACGCTTTACGAGAAGAACATAGAGAAAAATTACGGAGGCAAGCGGAAGAAGCTGAAAGACAAAGGCAAATGTTGATGGCTCAAAAATTGGCAATTATGAGGAAGAAAAAACAGGAATATTTACAGTATCAACGTCAACTTGCTTTACAAAAAATTCAGGAGCAAGAAAGAGAAATGCAAATGAGACAAGAACAACAAAAGCAACAATATATAATGGGTAAATTTATATAAATAAATAATATATAAATAATTTCTACTTTATTAAACATATTTTAGGTGGATATCAAGCTGTCTCTGGTTTTATTGGACCATCTCAAGGTTCACCTGTTCGTCACGTTCAGTATCAAACTCCAGGAACAAACTACAATCCTATGTCACCAACAAATCAAGGATTTATATATGGACAACCTACTATGAAGCAGTATCCTATACAAAGTTATAATATGCCACCAATGAATTCTATGCCGCCTCACGTAATGGGGCCAATAGCTAATCAAGAGCAACAGCCAACTGATCCCGTTCAGGGACATGAAGCAATGGGCCGAGTTTCTGTTTCTGGGCCAGGAATGGTTAGTACAATCTCAAAATGTATTTATACGTATATACTTTGTTTTTTTTTAATACTTTTATTGTATTTGTTAAACAATTTAAGTCATTTTGAATTACATATTTTATTTAATTACTTTCTACATTTCTTTTGAAGATGTCTCAAATTACAAATCCCATACTGCAACTTCAGCAGGCAGGTGGACATCAGATGGGACCACCACCACAAGGTCCTCCACCAAATCATATGACACAAACGCAACCGACAACAGTACATCTACCACCGCAACAGGGTACTTCACAAATCACACAACCAGGACCACCAAACCAGATGGGTATACCTCAGGTACCTCAGGTACCTCAAACTCATATGGGCCCATCACCTGCACAAATAGGACCTGCAACACACAGTTCTCCTGGACAAGTCGGTTTACCACCACAAATGGGACCTCAGCAACCATCTACGATGCCAGGCCCTCAGGGACCTTCGATGCAGCCTCATGTTTCAAATACGCCTATTTCGTCGCAAGGATCAGGAACTATCCAAGTACCTCCAGGAACTACGACTGGAACGATGTTACCATCAAATCCGCCAATGCAAGGTGCTCAAGGACCTGGTGTACCGGCAGTGCAAGTAATGACCCAGGCGTCAGTATCACAGGGACAACAATTACAATATCAGCCGTCAACTTCTTTACCAGCTGTGTCAAATGAACCCACACAATTAAAGGAAGAAGTGAAGCCAGAAACAGCAGAATTAATTTCTTTTGATTGAATGAATTACAACCGATACAAGCTAATTCATAATAAGAAGTGCATTTAAGGTAATCATTTTGCATACCAATTTTGATCTTGAATTGGCACTGTCTGTTTCAATTGATGATAAAATTTTTATGCTGTTTATAGAATTAATAAAAATATAAATTTTTGAAGCAGTTCTAAAATAATGATTTGAATTTTACAACTTGTCAACGAACAGTGATATTTTAAAGTATATTTAAGAAAAACCTGATTACTTCATTATTCATGTTTATTTTAAGTTATAGAAATTTCCAATATATATACAAATTAAATACATGATTTTTTGCATAATTGTTAAATATATATCCGATAAAAGGTTATAATATTTAAATAGCAAAAACATACATTTCATATATATGTATTTAGATGTAATGTATGTACAAAATATTTATATGTTACATAGCATAAAACTGAAAACTAGTTTTATCTATACCTGACGTTTTGTTGGATACATGTATATGATCTTTTCTTCTTTTCTTTTGTACAAAGTTAATTTTAAGATGTTGTCTTTCCTATGAAAAAGAAAATATTACAAACTAAGGGTTTAAAAAATTTTACATATAGTAAATCCTATGAAAAAGAAAATATTACAAATTAAGAGTTTAAAAAATGTTACATATAGTAAATCCTTTATTATATCAATCAAACATTCTTCCTTTAATTTAATATTGCATTTACATTCTTATTCCTTTTCTTTTTTTGTCCAATGTGTCTAAAAAAAATGTTTACATACTTATTTTTCTTCAGGAATTGGTTTTTGTAATCATACTGTTTCCACTTGACCTTTTCTACGTGGTGGTTTCACTTCTTGCGGACAGGTGAACGATGTTTCTTCTGAATGTTTTCTGATCACAGATGATGGCTCACCATTAGTTGAACAAGCAGAAATTTGACCATCTTTCTTTTCCTCGCATATATGTGATATAGTTAATCCATTAGAAGTTAAGGATGCTTTTCGAAGTCGCATATCTTCTAAAGGAATTTCTTCACTTCGTGGCCTTGGCATCTTTGGCGAATTATCTCGAGATCGTAATCCATTTTCGTGACTTTTTTCATTTGAGGCAGTATCACCGCGTTTTGGAGTTGATGATAGACCAGGAGTAGCTCTAGCAACATTTTCTCTACGCATTTGTGCTGCGAATCCAGGAACTTTATTTACAGTAAACATTGGACGTAATTGATGATCTTTTGGTCTTTGACCACGTCCTAATCCTGAAATTACATTAAAATGTTACTCAGTTCTCATAGGTTTATTAACTTAACTAAATTAATTTAGTTTTCCAATGTATCTTACGTTCACAGCGAAAACCACGTAATGCATAATTTGGTGGCGTAGTAGCGTGTGGTATGCTTGTAGGAATATCGAGTAATCTTGCAATTTGATTCATTTTCTTTTGTCGTGCTTTTATTCTTCCTTTTGTTAGCCTTTAACGAGAAGTACATTCAATGAATATATGCAGTTATATTACACAACACATATTAATGGCAACATGCAATCATACCTTTGTTTCGCAGCCATACATCTTATGTGATCATCAAAAATGAATTTTGCTGATAACAAAGGTACACGATTGCCAGTACTACTGCTTAAAGGTTTATAAATTGTCAAATATAAACATCTGGAATCATCTTTGTCACCAGCAACTTCGATATCTTGTAGAAAGCCTACCAATTTTGCTACTCCCCAACCTAGTTTACTAGTATCAGGTTCAACAAGAATTAATTGCTTAACATCGATGACTATAAAACGACGAATTTTTTGACCATCTTTCCATACAATGGTGCATGAGATTATGTCGCTATTATCTGGACAAAAAATAATCAGAATTTAGCATTTATAAATATTTGAATATTTAATTTACAATCTGCTAAAACAAAATAACTTTTACTTAAATCAAGAACGTTGTCAACTTGAATACAATTAGCTGGATTCGTTAGTGGCAATTGTGTTTCTGCTTCCATATTAAGAGTCAATGATAGATCTCTTATTAAAAAGAATACTCTTATAGCGCGTCGTGCCCTTTCAACCTGTACAAATATTAATTTCACTTTTTATTAATAAGTTTAACAATATATATTAATAAAAGACTTTATATTGAAAGAAGTATTTACATCTCCACATGGTAATCTTTTAGTAAATTCGATACCCGTCATTGGAGTTCCTGTTGGAGGTAATAAAATATTACTGTCCATCATTAACCATTCGACATTCAGAGGTCGTTTTTGAATTTCGCTATATTCGTCTTCAAACATATCTAAGAATATGTCTTCACTCTACAAATAGAATTAAATAATCTTTTTATAATTTTTTATATTGACAAAGAAAAGGAATAATTTAATATAACACACCTTATAAAAATTTTTTAATAACGACGTGCTTTGCTCTTTGGCTGCTTCTATTGCTGCTAAATGTGAATCTTTTAACATACTTTGGCCTTCAGACATTACTAATTGTATTAACAATTTAATTGTTAATTCCAAAGTAACAAGTCTCACTCTAGCATCTGACAAAAATATTATTCGTAAAAACGTAGATTATTGTTTCGGAAATTAAGAAAAATATTCTGGAAAATGACTTACTTGTTTGACAACTTAATGTTATGATATGAATTAGTCTATCTATTAAAATTTCATTATATAAAGTTGTAGTTGAACTTTGTGAATTGCATAAAATTGGATCCAAAGTTTTACGATCTATGCCCTTAAAAATTTATTCTTGTTAAAGCACAATAATAATATTTTTGTTAGATATAATAATCTCAGTATTTTTCCCACCTGATTATTAGCTAAAGCATATAGTAAACACAATGCGAATAGAGCAGCGTAATCATTTTCTGTGCAAAATAAAGAATTTAAGATAGTTTCTAAAAATGGTTTATTTGATAATGATTCAGTTATATTTTTTTGTGTTTGAGGTGTTAAGGGACTTTCTAGTGCTAATCTTTGCTCTTTTTCTTCATCAGTAACATTTAAATGTTTAATTTCTTCTAAATCTTCAGCTGGAATATTTATATCTAGTTGTTCAGAGCTCATAAGTACTGGTACATGTGCTGTTGAAACAGAATTAAATGATGTACTAGCATGATTCATTCCTGAAACCTCTTCATTTTCATTCCCAGTATTTACAATATCTTTTCTTTCCTCCAAGTTATTTTCTTCTTCATAAAGTTCATCTGATACTGTTAAGGACTCGCTTAAGTTTTCTAAAGATTTTTCTAAACTTTCTTTTGGTGGTGAAAAAGCAATTGGTTTATCCGATGATATATCACCATACATTTCAAGTACTTTACTTGCACCTGTTTGTATTGTTTCGAAATCTGACAGTAGCATTACTGCTGCTAGCGTATGTACAAGAGGACCATGAGAGACTATTAGAAACACTTGAGAAAGTAAAAACAAGGCTACAACAATGCTCACATGTTTTCTTTCTTCCTATTAATGATAAATGCAAATTATTAGCATATCAAATAATTATGAACTTGTTAATTAAAAACATACCTGATTTTGGCACAGAAAATTTTTGTGTCTCATAAGTGAGTAAACATACAATGGAACTAATAATTTGTGAAGCAAATGTTCTGATAAAACTTTATTCAAATCGGATATATTTAAGCAAAGAATATCATTTAAATAATGCAAATGATCTAAGTGTTCTGCTACTAAATCTGATAATCTGTTTTGGCTTTGATGACTGAAACACACATATATTATAAAATATCTTTCTAATATGATAATTTAAATTATGTTTTGAAAATGACTTACTCAGCATCATTTCTAACACAAGTGTCAAGCTCTATAATGTGATTACCAATAAACCATACAAGATTGCTGAAATAGGGTGCAGCAGTGCGGTCTCTTATAAATGCTAGCATGGAGGCATCTTCTACTCGATATACATTTAAAGTTAAAGTTCGCACTGCTATACGAACCATTCCTTCGGAGTGATTAAAAAATTTAATTGCCTCCGTATACAATGGAAAATCATTGGTGTGCTGATAAAAAAATCAAATTAAAACACATCCTCTTTTATGTGCTGAGTGCAGAATTTAAATAATGATGATGACAATGAAAATGAAATAATGATCACAGTAAGAAGCACATTATGGTTAGATTAAATTACATATGCATGTCATTATGCATAAATATTATAAATTTAAATTAAAAAAAAAAGAAATATATGAAAGGCAGCTGCTAATTAATGAACATGAGATTAGCAAAAGTGAAATAATAGACACAGAGGATTATCACGTGTACCTCGTTTACCTCATTATAAAAAAAGTGAATGGTATGTGCATTTAACTTCAAGCTTAAAGTTTTCAAAAAACTGATATAATATGCCATCACTTCCTCATCGCTAAAGTCAAATTTGTGCACTATTATACTGTTTACATGATTATTACTAAGTAAATAATCTGGAAATAAATATCTTAATGAAATTTTCATTAAAAAGAAGATTGATTAAATTTAACAGATGCTGAAACTTACATAAAGATGTTTCATTACGTATATTTTCAAATAATATATTTAGAGTCTGCAATAATTGAACACATACATAGCTTCCACATTTTTGCTTCATTATACGTAGAAAAAATGAAAGCATGTTCTTTTCCAGAAAGAAACTGTTAAAGAATATACACACAGTTATTATTTACCATATAAGAAAGTTTGTTAATTTAATAAAAATTATTTCATTAATGCTTACTCAAATACACTGCTATCATTTTGGTCACCCCATATTAAAATTTCAGCTATAGAACGAAGAGTTTCTACTAATAAACCTCTATTATTTTCTGACACAGTTTGATTTTTTGACAGGACATGATACAAATACCTATGTATAACAATAAATAAAATTTAGACAAAGTAAAAATTTAAATATATACACATGCATATATATATATACATATACGTACTTAAGATGCTCTAAAGAATGAGGATTTTTGGGCTTCCAAAGCCCTCCGCCAAACCAGCTCCGACTACGAAACATTTTTTAGTAATACAACTGCGTTTGGGTGGTGTCTTGTATTAAATACATATTCCTTTTGTTTTTTTTTTGTTTTTTTTGGTTTTTTTTTATTAAAGAAATATCATCATTTATTTACGTAATTTTCAAAATTATAATCGTTTAATGCTCATTAAAATTTTTATAAACGTTTACACGATTGTCGAAATAGCAGTAAAATTTAATACAATGTTCAGGTTAGAGTTACTTTTCCATTATGTATCTTTACTTTTTATCTAATTATTAATTATCATATTTTTATATAAAACGCACGTGTTTTGTACATTGTTCCAATTACACAACAGGACAAATCGAAACAATGTTAATCACATTCAATTTTACACGACGCAAAACGAAGCCTACCCTCCATTACTAAATGATCAGTGGAACTACACGTTAGGTTAGTTTAATGTCGTTTGTTATCATTATTTATAATTGTTGAGTACTAAAGGATCGTGCTTTTAATAAAAAGAAGAAAAGTAAAATATTTTTAAACGTATCGTTAAATTTTATACAAATTATTTAAATACAAACGAATGAAGATTATGACAAAATAAAAAGAGGATTTCAACATAATTTCACAATAAAGAGTTGTTAAGAGGAAAGACATATTGACATTGAATCATCTGTACATTGAAAAAAGCTTGCATGATTCATTATAATGAGAGTATTAGAACTATACAGTGGTATTGGTGGAATGCATTATGCTCTTCAAGGTGAACTACATATACTGACATTTGTTGGTTATATTGTTTAACAGAATTTAACCTGTACTTTCTACTTTGCTCGTAAAAGAATGTTACATTTTAAATAAAATAGATAATTAAAGATTTTATTTTCAGAAAGTGGTATTAAAGGTGACATTGTTGCTGCTGTTGATATCAATACCATTGCAAACAGTATATACAAATATAATTTTCCAGATGTATTACTTATGAATTGTAATGTTCAATCACTCTCTGCAAAACAGATAAATGATTTAAATATAGATACTATATTAATGAGTCCACCATGTCAGCCTTATACGAGAGTAGGACTGCAGAAAGATATATCAGATAACAGATCATCCTCATTACTTCATGTTCTTTCATTGATTCCACAGTTGAAAACATTAAAATACATACTGCTTGAAAATGTGAAAGGATTTGAAAAGTCCGAAATGAGAAATGCGGTATTAAAATGTATGAACACATCTGGATTTAATTATAAGGAGTTAATTCTAAGCCCTTGTCAATTTGGTATACCAAATACCAGATATAGATATTATCTGTTGGCTAAAAGAAAGGATTTTCAATTTTGCTTCGATCAATGCACATTAAACTTTAATGTACCAGAAGCTATTTTAAAGGCCTTACCAAAAAGTAAACATAATTTATTAGCAGAAGGTGCTAAAACAGATAAGAAATGCTATAAATTAGAAAATATTTTAGAAAATGTTGAAGCGTCACAGTATTTAATTCCTAGAAAGTTGTTACAAACAAGAGCTTGGTTGTTTGATATTAGAACATCTCAAAGCGATGGTTCCTGTTGTTTTACAAAAGCTTATAGCCATTATGTAGAAGGAACTGGTTCTATATATTGCCCATATACAAAAGAAATAATTCAACAGACGTTTTTAGAAGCAAATAAATATGGGAAGAAATCGTTGGAGGCATCAGAAGTTTTACAAAGATTAATGTTAAGGTATTTTACACCTAGAGAAGTGTGTAGATTGATGTGTTTTCCTGAGGAATTTGTATTTCCAGAACATATAACGTGTAAGCAAAAATACAGACTTTTGGGAAATTCAATTAATGTACATGTAGTTAGTAGATTAATATTTTTATTATACACTAAAAAGAAAATTACATGACATTCACAGAAATATATTTTATATATATTTTTAATAAAAAAAATCTTTTATATTCTAAAACAAAGTTATAAAGTTCCTGATATTAGAAATATTTATGAAGAAATAATAAGTGTAATAAGTAAATGATATCTACAAATACAGATCATTTATGAACATTTGAAATTGGAAATATTAGCATTTATATAATTTTTATATTTTAATCATTTGCAATCATTAATAATGATAATTATAATCATTATTACTTTTGAATAATGTACAGTTCATATTTTTCTTGATTAGAAAAATGTTAAAGATTCAGAGAAATGTTAAAAATTCAGTGTAAAAATAAGTGTAGTATAAGGAACGAAAGCAATACCTATCAATTTTATTGTTTTACGATAAAAAATTCCAATATATATTTATATAGTTTCTAGTTCAGGTGGAATGTGAATCTTTTTTTCTATAGCAAATTTTTTTAGAGCTTGATATTTAGAATGCCAAGATTCTATCTCTTCTCTCATATGGTTATTATCCTCTTGCATAGCTTCCATATCACGGTATTCTTGTGTCTTTTCTGATTCCAATTCATCCTTCTGTTCAATTCGTTTGATACGACAACTAGCTGCGTATCCTCTATTTTTTAATGTTCGTCGACGCTGTTTCATACGAACTATTTCTTCTCGTGATAATCCACGCAGTTTCAGTTGCCTGTTTAAATCTCTGACTGATATAGTCACTAGTTCATCATCACTAATATCTAAACAAGGGCCAGGTGATAATGGATCCTGAAAAATAGATTAATCATAATATTAATCATTTAGAAATTATTTTATCCTGCCTTTTTAATAAAAAATTATAAAGAAGTATTCAATTATATTCTCAAGGTTACGTTAATTATTTTTCCAATTGAATTATAATTGACAGCTATATTTTTGTAGCTGTTTCATATAGGTAGACTTTAAAAAGCACCTTAAGGAATAACGTACCATTTTTATAGATCTTTTCCCATCCATGGACATATTTTTCGATCGATTTCTTCAAGTTCCAACGTCAAAGGCTGGAAGTTTCAGTTTTACTCTAGCTTTCACGCTTTGAAGAAAAATTTGCTGAGTCATAGTAGAATCTGTTAGTTCGCCATTCGATTGAAGATATGAACTTTCTGAAAACATGAACAAAAAAAGATCTCTCGCTACGGATTTATAACAAGTACACTGGTATTTCTATTTAAAAAAAAAGCATACGTATTCGCAACTGTACTTTCTCTATCGCCAAAAATTTTAAAACTGCATTGTTTGATCTTGAAAGCATCAAATCTTACGTTCATTTAAATCTAAATTCTGTAGATGGCGCATCATGATACTAAATGGCGTACGTCTTCATTTTTAGTTGACGTAGCTGTCAATAGAGGGTTATTAAGTTATGTAATTTCTCGTTAGTTATTACATGACTAGATTTTTCTACATATAATAAATTCAAAGATCTGTTTAAGTAGTGAGTTAACGAGTAATAAGGAGCGTTGCTAAGATGTGTCCTTATGTTGTAAACCTAACCTAAACCTTATTTCTCATTTTCTCTTTAATGTACAATTTCCCTCGTTATACGATATCTTGTACATTAGCCTGGGTTTTGTCGTCCTGGTTCCAGGTAAAATAAAACGATGTTTTCACATCTTTAACAGGATATTCTCGTTAACTCCTATTTTGTACTTTCCAGAAAGTAATGATAATGATTGAGTTTTTTAAATATCGTATCAATTTTATTTGAAATATTTTACTCTTTCTCTTATTCTATAATGTTTAGGTATTATTTGACATAAGTTAAATTTATGCATTGCACGAAAGAAACAAAAATACTACAATTTCGTTGAAATTTCTATCGATTATCGAAATTGTTTCTACTTTGAATTTTTGTTTTACATAAAGTAAATATCTGTTCAAATTAACTATTTGAATTAAAAATGTTCACGTAGTACTTCCGGTGTTGCAGTGGCATAGATGGCGTTCCAACAGTACAGTAACATACGTTTGAATATAGTCCATCGGTATAATCGGTTAATTTTTTGTTTTACTTTCGTTGATATTTCTAATTATTTAACGAGTACAATATGTTAGTGAAAATGAAATTTGATGTTCTTCTTAAATCGATAAATGGTTAGACGAATAAAAGAAATAAATAGCGGCCGTCGTATTATTGGCGCCACCGATGAATTTTTACGTGTCAGTTGAAACAACAAATAAAGTACGTTTTTGTTAAATAAACGTAATCGAATGCGTAGCGTTCGTTACTGTTGCAATGAAAAATAAACGAAAGATCAACGATTTTGCAAGTATAAACGAAAGATCAACGATTTTGCAAGTA